TGCCCAACTATTTTAAGAAAGGGCAGATATAGAAACCCCAAAAACGCGACACCCATTAGCTAAAGTATGTGTAACATTGGGGCTGAGGGAAAGAGGACACGCCAGGTGGTCCGAAACCTTCAATCACTGTTGACTCTAATTTCTCAACAGAGGTGGTCCTATGGCGAGTGTGGACGGTTGGAGCAACAGGTACAAAGTAGAAAAGATCGCAAATGGACGCCGAGGAATTACAAGTGGATAGCCACCGTTGGCAGATACGAGGCCCCACACCAAACGAATACACGCTGCGTGTAGACGACGATACCAGTAAACGGAGCCACTGCCCTCCTCTCAGTGGAGAGCGCGGGGTCTGGTGGGGATGCAGAGAGTCTGGAGCAGGCTTAGAACACGCGAAGCCAAAATTGCCGTCAGCCATTACAATGTGCCTTGCGTGAGGCTAAACAAGGAAACCGGGGGACCACTCTAACGGTGAAATCAAAATCTCTCTGTGACATTAATTGAAGGAATTCTAAATCCCCCTAGATGGTGCATATGGTTGGTAAGAAGATACCATAAGTGATAGATGTACCGCAAGTTGGCCTGGAAGAACTCGGTCACGGGCGGACGTTGAGGATCGGGCCCCGACCTTGTCAGTGATGATATTATATGAGATTTGACCACCAATGACCAAAGTTCATTGGAGCACATAGCAGGCTACCTACAGAGGAGTTGTAAACCATTCAACCGAGGAGTGGGGTAAGGATGATGAAAACAAAAGAAGAGGGAGAAAAAGAAAGAGTGAAAGAAGGGCAGAGAGAACAGTGGGAAGAAGCAACGAAAGAAGAAAGAAGGGATCAAGAAGAAACGGTGTGATGGACTAGATTGCATTCCTCCTTTTTATATGACAGACATCCGAATACTAAGGATAACAGGTGTGCACTAGCGACGTAGACACGATCGCAGTGAAACAGCGATAGAAGACACCGATTAATTTTAGTTGGACGGGCACACATGTTACCCACTGTACACGGTTTTGGGGGAATATTGTCCCAGGCAGGGACCCCAACCACGCTATATACACGTACGTGTCTCACCGCAAAATATTTAGCTATGGAGGCCCTGCAGGAAGATCAGGAGGGTGGAGGTGATGGTCTCTTGGCGCCTCCGACAGAGTATCGGCGCATGCTGTCGTGGCAGTTGTCTCAACTGCAGCCAGCTCCAGTCACGAGCACACGGAGGGCGCAGAAGGAGCGAGAGAGACGGAGAAAACGCTCGAGTAACGCCGAGGGGGACGACATTCAGTCCAGCGGGGACATAGCAGGGGAGGAGGAGGAGGAGGACGCAGAAGAACCCGGAGAGGAGGGAGGTTTTGCCTATCTGGTGGTCAACAGCGATGGAGAAGAGGAATGCTACTATTCCGCACCAGAATCGCCACCTGTCTCTGAAGATGATGGTAAAAACATTAGCATTAGCTATAATAACCTTGCAGGGGTCGTGAACCTCCTGTGCCAAACGGTTAATGATCTATTCTACACGAACTCCTGCCTCTCCATAGTTATTGTGCAGCAATTAGAGTTCATCCCTCACAGTTTTCATGTGTTGCTGTCGCTTGCTGACAGGAGGGGGAGGGGAGGAGGAAGGAGGGGAAGAGGAGGTGTGTCTCCCACCTCAGGAGAGGAAGAGGGGAGGGAGGAGCAAGAAGGCAAGGAAGAAGTTCCGCAGTGTCACGAGGCTAGCTGAGGTAACCCTAATTCCTGACGACAACATTTGTCAATGCAACACTACTCTGTGCATGTGTTTTGTAATGTCCTCCCTCTAACTCAGTTGCTCCCACTCACCAAGAATACTAGGCATGCACTCACCTAATGGTAACCTTACTTCATCGCAAACTCCTGGTGTGTCCTCCTCTAGTAATGTACAGGCTATTGATTTTTCACCTTGAAAGCCTTACACTGAAGTTTAGTCATTTGTACTGTTGGACAAGGAATACATGACAGTTTGTCCTTGATTTCCTCAAAAATTTCACTTTTTTGACTACATACTCCACCCGCCAATACAAATGGTTCCAGGTGGAGTTCTTTGGTCCTCTGTGTGACCTGGTGGAGGGGAGTCTGGAGGTGGATGTGGGAGGCATGGAGGTGGCTGACAGGGTGGACGTACCCTCTCTGGCCGAGCTGTGTGTTCGCAGCATCCACAGAGCCAGACTTCGACGTACGTACTTACACATCGCCAGAGTTTGACATGCATACTCTTAACATTAAGTGTCAATCTGTGAAACTATTGCTCCACAAAAGCATCATGAAACGGTCAATCCGTGACTATTGAAACTCTTTAATCAGTAGGTAGGCGGTAATCTTTTTTTTTCCAACAAGTATAGGTTAAGTGTAAGTTAGTTGAATTGCGTATAGCACAGTAAAACGTGAGCAAGTCAAGTACATACAAATTGTCATGTTAACAAAATAATGGACGTACTTTCTGACCAATGCATGTTCCTATCTGTCCCCAGTAAAGAGCTCCCCTGACCCGCAGTCAGAGGATGAGCCACCACTCCACCTCCCCTACCTCATCACCGCCCTGGTGGGTGCCCACAGAGCCCAGCGATCTCTGGTGGGCCTCCAGGTCCGCTGGCTCGAGAGGTTCCTTGCTGCCTGGGAGACAGAGTCGGGCAACCCCGACAGAGTCTCCTGCTCTGAAACATTCGACGACCTTTCACCTCCACTGGCTTTCTGCCCTCGACTGCTGTGGGACACCTCCAATGTGGGGATCGCCCCAGACCCCTTCAGGGGACCGCACCTCCCTCTGCTCCCCGTATCTCCTACCAACATGGGCGTCGCCATGCCGCGGGACGGTCGGAACGAGATGACCATGATCACCTGTCTGGAGTTCAGCCGACACGTCTCGTCTCTCGTCCATTTTGCCAACTTCCTCTACCCTCTGTTTCCGTTGCGAGGGCCCGGTCGCCAAGGGAACGAGGATCAATCTCTCTCTCCGTCTCAGACCTCAGCCATTGCCCGGGTTAACAGCTTCCTCTCTTCACGGTGGGTTAGCCCCTCTGCCTGCTTCTTGTTAACCCTCAGCGTGCATGCGCAGCGAGGGTTACAGTACTTTGTCTGTGTGTGTGAATGTGTGTGTGTCTGTTTTTCACCAGCTATTCTGGCATTACAGGCTACGGGGCAGCCAATGAGCGATACCAACAACTTAAGAGCTAACGAGAGCCTTAAAATAAAAAAGGTGTTTTTCCTGAAAGGACTGCGTTTGGGAAATATGACGTGAAAACAAGTGAAAAGGCCAAAAATGCATAATCACACTGGGTTACCTCGACCAGATTTGCTCGCTCTGTATACCTTGGAGGCACAAGAAGCAGAAAAATGCAATAGTTAACTTCGCTAATCCTAATCCATGAATTTGCAAGCACTATTGTTTAACTGTGCGCATTTGTAACCTGTTTTTCAGAGGCATAGCAAGTGGAGAGCTTTACACTTGCAGTTTTCCCTTTCATAGCAATCTTTTTCTCCCTTCCTCTTCCCTCTTTACCTACTTGCAGTTTGCACTTTCATAGCAATCTTTTCCTCCCTTCCTCTTCCCTCTTTACCTACTTGCAGTTTGCACTTTCATAGCAATCTTTTTCCCTCCCTTCCTCTTCCCTCTTTACCTACTTGCAGTTTTCCCTTTCATAGCAATCTTTTTCCCTCCCTTCCTCTTCCCTCTTTACCTACTTGCAGTTTTCCCTTTCATAGCAATCTTTTTCCTCCCTTCCTCTTCCCTCTTTACCTACTTGCAGTTTGCACTTTCATAGCAATCTTTTTCCCTCCTTCCTCTTCCCTCTTACCTACTTGCAGTTCGCACTTCATAGCAATCTTTTTCCCTCCTCTTCCTCTTCCCTCTTACCTACTGCAGTTGCACTTTCATAGCAATCTTTTTCCCTCCCTTCCTCCTTTCCTCTTTACCTACTTGCAGTTGCACTTTCATAGCAATCTTTTTCCCTCCCTTCCTCTTCCCTCTTTACCTACTTGCAGTTTGCACTTTCATAGCAATCTTTTTCCCTCCCTTCCTCTTCCCTCTTTACCTACTTGCAGTTTGCACTTTCATAGCAATCTTTTTCCCTCCCTTCCTCTTCCCTCTTTACCTACTTGCAGTTTTCACTTTCATAGCAATCTTTTTCCCTCCCTTCCTCTTCCCTCTTTACCTACTTGCAGTTTGCACTTTCATAGCAATCTTTTTCCCTCCCTTCCTCTTCCCTCTTTACCTACTTGCAGTTTGCACTTTCATAGCAATCTTTTTCCCTCCCTTCCTCTTCCCTCTTTACCTACTTGCAGTTTGCACTTTCTATTCATTAGCCTACCTTCCTCTTCCATCATTAAATATTTTCTCCCTTTCCCTGTTTCCCCCTCTTTCTCTCTCTGCTTTAATGTACGTGAGCAGGTACAAAGTGCTCTTTAAGGACCACGGCGAGTTCCTGAAGCTGTGGCCAGGCTACGTCTACTGGGCCAGAGGACAGGTGAAGCTAGCTCTCTCTGCCTTCTCCACCGCTCTCAACTCTCTCAAATATGGTAAACACACCTCAAATTTATGGTTGGGCTGGACTCCTAAAAAAACATCCTCGCTGTGTGTATACTTCAATACCAGCTCTGACAAAGATTTTTTGCTGGGGCACGCCCCCTTTACACACTTTTCTCAAATGTCACAGTTACTAGCCATCCGTGAAGGTTGTCTGCGAAACCTTGTTGGTAGGGACTACTTAGTGATGTGTGAAGTGAAATATGGAGTTGCTTCCGAATGCAGAAGCTTTTCCCTCGTTTGTACGGTGTTTGCATTATATTTGGTGGGGGCACAACAACCACCCACCAAACAATTTACTCTTGACTGCAAGGAACATGTGTACTGTAGCCAGATGTTGTTGAAAGTGAAGGTTGGTTGTTGTCGTCATCACTGCTCCAGGCATTGACCGAGCCATAGCTCTGAACGAGATGGGGAGGATGATGCTCATGTTTGGCGACCGCTACAGTGCCGCTCTCTTCTTCACCAAGAGTCTAGAGGTTGATCCTCCCACCAACCAATTCAAGTTCTTCAAGCCTTCAAAAGAAGCGGTATAGACATGAATTTTCACGAGACTGTCAAGTTTTGAGTTTAACAGCAAGTTGTTCTCTCTCTCTTGTGTGTGTGGTGTGTGTGTGTTGCAGGTTCAACCTCACGTGCTAAGTCTCCAAGCCTCTGCATGGGACTGTGGGTAGGTCCCCTTTAATAGAAAGATGAAGTAATGTGTATGTTAGACACACAGTAACCAATTATTGACATATATAACCTAGTACCCAAATTGTTCACCTCATAACCTAGTACCCAAATTGTTCACCTTGTAACCTGTATGTACATGTCTATCTCTCACCAATGCTCACTCCATCATACACTACCTGTAGGCCAGTCTGAAGCTTCTCAATGTAAGAAATCACATTTCACACTCAATATTCTTAGTTGTCTAGGCTGCATAGCTAAAGCTAGAACTTTTCCACAATGCTCTAGTACGATCACATTACACCAGATGTTTCTACTGCATTCAGCACATTTCACACTGCTGTGGTTCCAACTCTCCCCCAGTCTCCTGACGAGAGGATCAGCGAGGCAGGCAGCAGGGGCGTGGTCTCGTGTCCTCACATCATCCGCTGACCTCGTGGGCTCCTGGTACCTCAGCCTGGCTGCTGTGGAGTCCCGTATGATGATCCACTCTGGGGTCCCCGTGGGCTCGCACCCTGCCTCTCCACTCTCTACTAACACTGGTAGGGTTACTGGACATTTTCATTAACCTTTACACTTGTATTATACAAACTGTATGAACCTGTTGGCGAGCCAGCCTCCATAGTTTTCTTTTTTGTACAACAAAAACCGTGTGTCTTGTGTTCATCTCTCACAGTTTGGCTCCTTGTGTATTTTCAGCTGGTTCACAGTGTCTACATACATGTTACTTTGAGCAAGTGCGACAGAACTTGGCAGGCATTTTCCCGATCCTAGCTTTTTGAGAAGTGTGTCCACCTTGTCGTCTGAATGAATTGCGCCATATATAATATATGGTTTTATCGCACCAGAGAATGTGTGTGTGTCAGTGTGTTAACATCACTTAGAGCACGATGTATACTACAGACTTGCTTGCATTGATAGCTCACCGAAAAGGTGTCGCATTCGTTCTAGTATATACAGTAAATAACAATGTGGTTGTGTTCCAGTAGATGGCGAGTCACCGATGAGACGGTGGCTGTGTGAGCTGCTGGACCAGTTGTCCTCTCTCGTGACCTCTCACCCTCTCCTCTACTACCACCACTCCCTCCTCCTTGCCGTGGACGCCAGACTCAACGAAGCTCGCAGAACCTTCCTCAGGTTCTGTGACAAGTGAGTCATACTCTGTCCTCATAATTATGGTGGAACCTCTTAGAGGCACATCCAAGTAAAGGACACCTCTCTATAAACGACACCTGTTTTGATCTGGTGCTAATACTTTATTGAGCCACCTCTTTCAAGCGCTGTGGCTGACAAAACTACGCAAACCGACAAACACGATCTTATACACCAGGAATAGTGATACAAAGACTTTAGCCAATGCTATGCATGCTAGGAAGTAAGCCCAGAAGGCTGGCGACGAGTGTTCCAGTGTGAAGGTAAACGCTGTAAACACTGCACTGCATGCTGACCGAGTGCCATACACTGTACGTTGAGTTTGTGAGTAGGGGGAACGTTGAGTTTGTGAGTAGGGGGAACGTTGAGTTTGTGAGTAGGGGGAACGTTGAGTTTGTGAGTAGGGGAACGTTGAGTTTGTGAGTAGGGGAACGTTGAGTTTGTGAGTAGGGGAACGTTGAGTTTGTGAGTAGGGGGAACGTTGAGTTTGTGAGTAGGGGGAACGTTGACTTTGTGAGTAGGGGGGACGTTGAGTTTGTGAGTAGGGGGAACGTTGAGTTTGTGAGTAGGGGGAAACGTTGAGTTTGTGAGTAGGGGGAACGTTGAGTTTGTGAGTAGGGGGAACGTTGAGTTTGTGAGTAGGGGGAACGTTGAGTTTGTGAGTAGGGAGAAACTTAGGGACAACCCTGTGGCTATGACAGCAACAATTGGTAGAGTCAACAGTATGCGCACGTAACATGTGTTGTGGGTCCTATATACCTCCAAGTTATGTAGTAGAAGAGAATTACCAGCAAAAGAAACCTTTAATTAATACTACCATTTCTCTGTGAACCAGTTACCTTCTGTTCCGGGAGTGGTCCGAGGACTCTGGTTTTCCCGGCGATCCGTTCTCCACACAGACCAACCGGAGACTCCTCAACCCCTGGCTGCCGCTGTCGTAACATGCTCAACGAACAGGGGCTCCCCCATGCTCCCATAATGAAACTGAAATGGAGGACTCGCCTACTGTACCCCATGTATCCTTATTCCAAGTGAGAGTTGCTGCACACTGCCATTGCATACCCAAAGACTGCGACAATCACTGCCTTGTTACCTTAGATTATTCAATGGAACCCCTCTCTTAATATGCTTTACATTAGATTATTCTCTCTCTTAAGACGCCCCTGATGCGAGGACACTTTTTGCCCAAGAACAGTTCCTTGCATACAATTTCCCCCCCTTATGTAAGAACACCACGGCAATATGGGCACTTTATTCTGTCCCATTGATGGTTGGATTAGAAGAGTTCCACAATGTTGGAAAGATGGCATACTACTCTATTCGTGTTACTGGATGCAACACACATTCATGTGGCTCACATGACTATATACCCCTGTGGCTGATTTTGCAGGAGTGAAGAAGTGAACTACCTGGCTGACCACTGCTCCTCGGCCGTGAACCTTCGTCTGTCAGAGTCGGGCCACATCACAGCTGATCTACACATGGACTTCCCTCCCATGAGATCTGTTCTTCTAGACCCCTACTCTGGGTCCGTATGCCCATTCTCTCTCTCTGGGATATATACTACACATTTGAAAGGACACTCCAAATAAAAAAACACTTTTCTATATAGAGCACTTGTTCCTAAATAATATTATTGTGCATTAAAGGACAGCTCTGTATAATGGTCCACCTCTCTGTCACTACGCATACAAGTGAAGGAACATGTATACAGTATACACATCTATCTGTTATGTGCAGAGAATTTTAATTGTACTTGCCACACACAATGTATCAAAGGAGTCAACAGTGTGGTGATAATGGTGGTACATCTGTCCTCTGTTCTACATACAGATCAGTGTGTTTCTCTCGCTCCGCCTCTCTCCACCATCATCTCTCCGGTCCAGTGGGAAACATGGGACAGAACGAGTTCATCGTCCCTGGTACATACGTTATAGATACATACAATAGGTTTTGTAGGGTCAAACCCTGTGTTTGACCAATTAGGCGAAAGGTAATGGCTATGTACAGTGTGTTGTATAGGCCTGAGACACGCATGTTCAATGAATTTTGGACACATAAGTTCAAACGAATGAATATATAATTTTACACAGTTGCACACAAAAGTTTGTAGACATGGTATTAGAGCAGATATTCTCTGTTTCCAGCTACTAAGTGGCTGAAACATTTCACGATGTAGAGCATAAATTAATGTGCGGTATATTATAGTACTGTTGGGCAATACATGGTGTACCCCCCTCACAGACGAGATGGCAATGCCATGGCCGCTGAGGCTCCTGGAACTGGGTGATGGAGCTGGAGTGGAACTGGTCATGTCAGGCTGTGTGGACCCTGAGATGTGTCACTACTCTGACACGGAGCCCTGCAAGACCAACCACAGCCTTCTCCTCCGCTGGTACTGTGGGTCCCAGCACTGCCAGCTGGACCTACGACTAGCCATCAGGAGACACCTCAAGGAGGTCCCTGTACCACAGAGTATGACGTATTTAGAAGTGTAAAGAGTCTGAAATGTACACGTGTGCATTGGTTGTGTAGTTACTCAACCTGTGGGGAAGTGTTTGGGGACAGCTGAATGTGAAATGTGAACGACTCAGTTTTTTATCCCTCTTCTCAACTCCCCATTGTGGTCACAGGCTGTGCTGGAGTTTTTTCAAGAGTCCATAAAGCAGGTAGAGAAGGAAGAACAGGCTCTGTTGGCTAACGTGAAGGAAGACGACGCTACCGCTCAGGTAGTGGATTCCTAATGTAGTGCAATTGTCAGTATTGCTAGCCAAATATGTGGTGAAGGCATAGCGGTTGTTGCAGCTTGTATACAAATGCATGTGTAAAAATGCACACACACACACACACCTCATTGTTGCACGTTGAACCGGGGTTTTATTTTACTGCTTCTACAATGTGGATGCAGCAAAAGCTGCACACCCTTCAAATGAAGAGAGAGGACCTTGCTAAGAGGGCGGAGCTGGTGACCCCAATGATGGAGAGAGGCTTCTCTTTCTCGGTGGAGGTAACCAGTCTTCTCGCTCTCTGTCTTTGTCTCCATAGGTCTATGTCCTTTTGCAGTATGTAAACTAAAGGAGGAGGTTACCTTCTTTTTAAACCCCACTCACTGCTCTTTTTTTGAATCTCTGCCGATTTCCCTTCCTTTACTAAAAGTGTTTGCTAAATCGTGTAGTTGCGCTGCTTACCTTTGCTTTGCAGCGATGTTGTTGCTGTTATGCAATGTTATGGTGTTTTGGGAGGGAATGTGGGGCAATCCCTACCCCCCCCTATTCTATCATATTGCTTTCTCACTAAAGGCCTGATTTTTTTGAATGCAGGATATTTGTGGCAGGGCAGTTAAAGTTCCCTCCAAGTACATTGTCAATAAGAGAACTGGAAAGTCCCGGCAAATAAATAGGTCCCCCGGAGAGCGGAAACCCCGCAGAAAGAGAGATACCAATGTGACGGAATTTAACCTGACTCTCACTGAATATTTTGTGTACGGAGAGGCCACACTCACACTGTTTTTCATGGCGACCCCACGCTTCGGTAACAAATCAACAAACCAGTTTTATCGCCAGACGTTGGTGGTGAGTAATGTCGATCGTCGTTAAGTTTGTGCAAGGTGTATGCTTAATCATTTTCTTCCTATGACTGTATGTTTCCATCTCCCTCTCCCTCCCTCCCTCCCTCCCTTCGTCTCTCTTTCTTTCTTACTCTGCCATGTCAAAGTTTTGTGTTTGAATTGTATGTATGAATCGTTTCTCTCTTCTCCTCTCTCTCCCATCTCCCTCCATTTCTCTCTCCAGGTGATCAACTGTAAGAGTCGGGAGTCTTTCCTACAACCTGTGATCCACTGTGCCGCAGACGCTCGCGGTTTTCTCAACGTGTACCCCTCCAACGAGGTGGCCACTCTCTACCCATCACGACACCTCCCACACATCAGGTACAGACCTAGCTGCTCTATAGGTTGAGATATTTAGAACAAGAAGTTGGAGAAACAAGATTACTTATCATACAGTGTGGTAGTACTTAGTATAAAGTGCTGGGCATGCACGGTAAGCTATAGAGTTGAGAAGGTTGAACATAACTTTTCAAAGTTTGACAGACATAAGAATAAGTTTTCTCTACCGTAAATGTGGGCATGAGTGAATTCCACTGAAATTTTCAATCTCCACTGAGCTTATTCTGTTGTTTCACTATTAGACTGCCTATCAGGTTTTGCATGTATAAACTGGCTACCACTCGGGCGTAAACCTGTTTGCCTAAATGTAACCTCAACGAATTGCACAAGTTATCATCATCTGTCTGTATTCTCCCCAGCCACCTGGCAGTGTTTAAACATGATCAGAGACTGCAGACCTGCACTCGGCTCCTGCTGGACCAGAGTGGTCAAGTGGTGTACCGTCAAGAGCTTGACAATGTGTCGTCGTTTTACGAGAGGAGGGGTGGGTTTGGTTTGTTTGTTATCCCCGAGCACGTCTACAAGTTCAAGTTCTCACTGGGAGACAGGGTGTTCATGTGGAGCAGGTAATGTATGCAGTATACATGTGGAGATAGTGTGATCCCTACCTCCCAATAAAGGACGGCTCTGAAAAAAAGGGCCTCTCAATAAGGGACACCTTGGAGACATTGAAGCTGTCCTTTATTTGGAGGTGGTATAATACACTAGTTTAATTAGTATGGGGCAGAACCAAGTGCCCCTTTTAGAGAGGTGTCCTTATTAGGAGGGTCCTTTCCGGAGGTTTCACTGTCTTGTTATGTAGAGTGGAACCACTTATTGAACACTCAGCACCTATATCTGTGTAAAGGATACTTGTTTCGATCTTGTGCTAATGTGTCACTAGAATACCTTTGCTTTCAACTGTGTGAATGTAGAGTGCCTAATAGCTGTTCTTATTGTGTGCTGAATCTCTCTCCGTCCAGAAGTAAGGGCGTCTGTAGCTACAATCTGAAGATGAAGGATCGTGTGATGGTTGATGCATCTGTGACCACTGGTGATGTGGTGACTGTAGTTCCTCTCCCTGGGTGTCTCCTGCTGCAAACTGTTGATGGTCTCAATCTGTACATCAGGTCTGTAGTAGTCAGTAGCAGGGAGGGTTAGGTGGAGGGGTTAAGATACAGCGATATATGGAATAGAGGCAGCGAGATAGTGTTCCTATTCCACCCTCCCACTGTAGGAAAGTATATAGGATGGTTGGTGTGCCGTTGACTCAGGTCATGTATGTAGTGCTTCAAGGGAGGCGGGGAGGAGAAAGGGGGGACAGCAAAACAGAGAGAGATCAGATATAGTAGCGGCTTGATAGTGTTCCTATTTCATCCTCCCACTGTAGTAAGTAAATAAAAAGTATTAGGATGGTTGGTTTGGTGCCGTTACTCAGGTATGTATGTATACCTGCAAGGCGGAGGCGGGAGGAGAAGCGACAGCAAAACAGAGAGAGATCAGAAATAGGCTGACAGCGAGAAGTGTTCCTATTCCATTCTCCACTATAGTCAACATTAACAGCATGGATATTGGTTTGCCATTTGTTTACTCAGGACCTGCAAAAATTTGAAATGCATTAGTACCTTTAGGGTGGAAGGGTAGGGCTTATATACAGTTAAAATAGAGGCAGGATAGTATATAGTGTTCCTATTCCATTCTCCACACGATAGTACAAGTATTATGGAAGGCGTGGTTTGCCATTTCGTTTACTCGGGTAGTGTATGTATATACTGCAAGGGGAGGCGGGGAGGAGGAGACAGCAAACAGAGAGAGAGATTAATTCCTTTCCTTTTCCACACGTTTTCTCGACTCCTAACCTCCCTACTCCCCTTCCTTGCCCGGAGAGAAAGACAGCCAAACAGAGAGAGATATATAGGAGCAGCAGCGAGATAGCGTCCTATCCACCCTCCCACTGTAGTAAAAGTCTTAGGCGATGGTTGGTTGCCGGTTACTCAGGTATGTATGTATACCTGCAAGGGGAGCGGGGAGGAAGAGAAAGACAGCAAAGCAGAGAGAGAGATATAGAGCAGCGAGATAGTGTTCCTATTCCATTCCCAACTATAGTCAAATTACAGGCATGGTTGCATTTCGTTTACTCGGGTACTGCACAAAAATGACCAGTGACCCACACCATAGTCAAAAGAAGAAAACACCAATCTGAGACGCGCGTGTAGTAGGCACAGTGGCTGACATCTCAGGGCTTATAATACACCGCGATCCAAAATAGCGGCAGATAGGATAGGTGCGGTGATATAGTGTGCCTATTCCACCTCCACGCTAGCTAAAAGTATTATGCGATGGTTGGTTTGCCATGTCGTTTACTCGGGTAGGTATGTATAGCTGCAAGGGAGGCAGGGGAGGGAGAGAAGGGGGACAGCAAAGAGCGAGAGAGAGATCAGATATAGAGCAGCTTGATAGTGTTCCTATTTCACCTTCCACTGTAGTAAAAGTATTATGGATGGTTGGTTTGCCATTTCGTTTACTCGGGTATGTATGTATAGCTGCAAGGGGAGGCGGGGAGGAGAAAGGGGGGACAGCAAAACAGAGAGAGATCAGATATAGGAGCAGCTTGATAGTGTTCCTATTCACCCTCCCACTGTAGTAAAAGTATTATGGATGGTTGGTTTGCCATTTCGTTTACTCAGGTATGTATGTATACCTGCAAGGGGAGGCGGGGAGGAGAAAGGGGGGACAGAAAGGGATCTCAATCGGTAGACACAGTCTCTTTCTTGGTGCTTAGTGTTCTCAGATTGGCTCACTAATTTTTCACTCTTCTCCTTGTTTGAGCTTGAGCAAAACAGAGAGAGATCAGATATAGGAGCAGCGAGATAGTGTTCCTATTCCATTCTCCAACTATAGTCAAATTAACATGGATATTTGGTTTGCCATTTCGTTTACTCAGGTACCTGCAAAAAATGTGAAATCATTAGTACCTTTAGGGGTGGAAGGGTAGGCCTTATAATACAGTAAAATAGAGGCAGGATAAGGATAGGTGCGGTGATATAGTATTCCTATTCCACCCTCCCACTATAGTAAAAGTATTATGGATTAGTCAGGTACCTGCAAAAAACCTTTTATATAGGGAGGCAGGGAGGGGAAAGATGGGGCAGCAAAAATAGAGGCGAGATAGGGATGGGTACAGCGAGATAGTGTTCCTATTCCAATCAATTTAACTTGGATATTTGGATTGCCATTTCGTTCACGGGAAGGGTATATAGAGGCGTGATGATACAGATAGATAGTCAACTTTCCGGTTATAGTCATAGGTATTAGGGATGATTAGTTGGTAATTTTGTAATTCTATGTGTAATGGCAAACCTACCTCTTGTTATGCAGGTAGTTTGAAGCTGTTGAAAGTGGATCATGGAAAGAAAGTGGACCAGGAAACCAATGGGTCTCCACATGAACACCATTTCCTAGCAAGAGGCTCCACGCTGTGTGTCGTGTCCGTGTTCAGTGTGGAGGGTTGTGAGAGAGAGCTCTGCCTGGCTGGAGGAGACGTGAATGACGGTGGAGAGAGGGAGGGAGGGGAAGAGGGGGAGGGAAGTGAGAGAGGGGAAGAGGGGGAGGGAGGGGAGGGAGAGGGAGAAGAGGAGCAGACAACTGAGGAGAGGAGGGAAGAGTTGGGCAGACTGGACTTTGGTTCCTGTTGTGTGGCACTCACCCTCAATAGCAGATTGCTGGTGCTCCAAATACCTCACAAGTGAGCACTTCTCTACACGATGCAGTATACAGTTGTACAACTTTCAAGGGAGAAGACTCTCACAAATGGTATATAGTTGTCTGCAAAAGTGCTGTCTGAAAATTGTTGGCTACTGCAGTTTCTCCCTCTAACAATTTTACTTATAATATTAGTGCACAGGCTAAATACTGTACATGTTGGTGTGTGTGTGTGTGGTGATTTTGTAGAAGTGAGGTTGTGCGTGTGCTGATTGACGTGGTGTTACCAGGGAGAGTGACAGAGTTCCACGACATGGGTGGTAGTCTAGGTAAGTCACTATTATTATGCCATAGACCTGTTCTTTAGAGTTGACTCCTATATTATACTGCTGATGCTGATATGTATACTGGTGACAGGGTACATGGTGAGTGCGACTCTGTTCCCAGACTGCTTCAGAGAGGAACTCTACTGGCTGTCTCCCTCAGGTGAGGAATACTATATAAGAGTCTGTCAATCATTGTGGCGTAAATTTCGAGGGGAAAATCAGGAGAAAATATCTTGGTACATAGGTTCACAGAGAACTTAATGTGGATAGCCTGACTAACGGTATGTATGAATGTATCCCAGCCATGATGTTGTGGGTGGGATACATTTGTATATACAGTGTGTGCAACAGTTTTCTCAGAGTTCTTACATTTCACACACTCCTCCCTCTCTATTCGCCAGGGAAGCTGCGAGGGATGCTGCCATGTCTCGGAGCCGGTCGTCACAGTTTCCTCTCGCTCACCCTCCCACCTCCTCCCACCCCCTCACAGGGCACCCAGGGCACGAGAGAGGAAGAGAGGGAGGGGGAGGAGGGCGGGGGACAGTGTCTGTTCTTCAATGATGGTCAGGGTGGGATCTGCTGCCTTCAACTGGACACTTGAACACCCAATGACCAAATACCACCATTAGATATTTTTAACAATGATAAATGATTGTGATTTATAGTGGTGAAATATTGTCTGTGTGGCTGCTGCTATCAGTTCTTTCAGGTGTACCAGGAGTATTCTCTGGTGATGACGGGTCCACAAATGCTTCTCCGTTGTCGAGAAAAAAGGAGCCCCTGTTAGGAGAGTTTTCTAGGTCCGAGCGGAGCACGACGGGGCTCACGTGCACCAGCTCCTTGACCGAGCTCAGCATCCCTACAACCGACGGCGTGTTCTTGTGGACAATTGTCTTGTGCATCTTGACCAGCCCCAGGGCTTTGAGCGTCCTCTTCTGCCAGTACGGCTTGCTTATGCCGCTCCGGATCAGAGTCACGGCCAGTAGCTTAGGAATCTCCTTTCCAACAGCCGACATAGCAGCGAAATCACACAGTCGTCCGGTCAGCGTGCAGCGTGGAAGAATCCATAACCTTTGAACTCTAAAACGAGGTGTGCGTTATTTGGAATCACGAGTCACACGACATCGGACCAATCAGGTTTCCAGATTGCTGTGTCCGAAAATCAAAAACACAGGAGAGACAAGGACAGAAGGGAAGGAGGAGAACCCAGCCAACCCTCGCTGGATTTGGTGGCGTGGACATGTCGGACTCGGAGAAAGAAGACGCCGGGCGGACGTCGCCTATTTCAAGTCGACACGAGAAGTCGCTGGGCCTGCTCACTGCCAAGTTCGTGGAGATGTTGAAGAACGCCGAGGGAGGCCTCCTAGACTTGAAAAAGGTGTTCGGCCCTGTATCACACAATGGTAGACACGTGGAAGAGATGTATAAAATTTAAAAAAAGTATACACTGGGCAGAAATTCACCATCCCTACATCCTAACATCAATTACAGTATGCGACTGAAGCAAAGCCTGTATTTGTACGTGTATGCGTGTGGTGTCATGACATGGGTGTTGTGTCATTCCCAACTCTATACGTCCCTACACACATGCAGGCTGCGGACATGTTGGACGTGAAGCAGAAGCGACGCATCTATGACATCACCAATGTTCTGGAGGGAATCGGTCTCATTGAGAAGGAGACAAAGAACACCATCAGATGGATGTGAGGGGACTCACCCTACTTGTTATGGCTATATATTGCTCTTCTATGTGAAACTGTGTGTAGATGTCTGTTAGAGCCTCCTATATATGTATATATAGTCCACTCCGTTATCTCTGTTCACTGTGGGGGCAAATTTTCTGACACTCTCTTGTCTGTCTCCTTTGTCTCCTTAGACTAAGCTGGGGGGCCTGTGCCTTGGTTTTGTACATGTTAGTATGGGGAATAGTTGTGTGTGTGTCCCCATAATTCCTGCACATGTGTAGACGGGGAAGGCCTGTGTTTCAAAGGTACCATTAACCCTACTCCTCCCCCATTATCAGTGGAGCGAGTCAGGTGATAGACGTGGTGGAGACGATGAAGCGACTGGAGGAGTTGAGGGAGAGGAGAGAGAGACTCGCCCGGAGAGAGATGGAGCTGGACCAACAGCAGCAGAGGATGGAGCAGTGCCTCAGGAACATCACAGACGACACCATCAACGAACAATATCCTCCCAACCATGTGTAAAATTGTGTGCGTGCGTGCGTGTGTGTATGCGTGTGTGATGTATAGTGTGTATCATACGCTTGTAATTTGTAAAGTTTTGTAGAGCAAAAGCAAATCTGGTGAACCAGTTACCATGCTCACTGTGCCAAAGGTTCTTTTTGTGCTGATTGAGGTCAATGGGATAAAGTGCAAGCTATTGAGAAAGCACTATTCTAGTGAGCTAAGTTTAGGCTGAGGTAAATGAAGCAAGTGATGGGCCTGAAATAATTATTGCGAAAGTTCTGCACGTGTATTGGTGTAGTGTAAGGTGGCATAGTAGATCCCCCGTCCCTATGTGGAATAATAGTATCTGCTTGCTCTGTGTGTCTCTGTAAGCAAAAAAACTCTCTGCCGTGACCCTTGACCCTTGACACATTCTCCACCCTTTCCTACGTGACTCATCAAGACATCTGCCAGCTCCCTCCCTTCAATGGTACATTCCCTCTCCTACAGCTATTTCTATATAATATGTCTCCACTCTTTTCCCATTCCTCACTCTGAGTAGGGTATTATGTAATTGTTTAAAGTGTGTACTTTTCACAAGAATTTCACGACCGAATGTTCCATTGTGCTGGTGACATAGTGTACTATGATTCCTCCAATATACTCCAGGGAGCACAGTACTGGCTATACAGGCTCCTGAAGGGACTCAGCTCTCTGCTGACAGGGTAACGCTCCCCCTTACTCACTATACAGTCCGCTATAGTATATACACATAATATAGACACCCTACTGATGTAGTATATAGTACTGTATACTTCTCTCTCTGTAGAATGATCAATATCACATGCACCTGAGGAGCTCCAAGGGCCCCATCAAATGTCCTGGTCCTGAATCAAGACGAAGACCTAGCTTCGCTGGTTCCCAACACAACCGCTGATAGCAATCAATCACAGGGGCAGCCCCTCACCACAGCGGACGACTCTAGTACCCGTACCACTCTCCCCTCGACTTCTCACCCTTCAATATCGTCATCCACCACTACCACCGGATCTTCTACTAGTCTGCTAGCCTCTATAGCTGGACCTACTAGCTCAGTAACTGCATTAGCTGGATCTGTTGCTAGACCTGTAGGCTCTGTAGCCGAGCCACAGTCTATTGCTGGGCCTACTACTGTGGCCGGTGTGAGAGTTCCGACCGGTGGTGGAGTTGTGACTAGGAGAATGAGACGACAGGCTGCAGGAGAGTCGCAGGGAGGGGAGGGGAAGGGGAGGAAGGGGGAGAGGGAGAGGGGGGTTGAGGAGAGTGGTAGTGTGAGTGGTGCAGCTGCTGTCAAAGTGTCCATTGATGAAGTAGAGGATATGGACACAAAAGAGGTACACTGTACTGTGGTATTGTGTTTAAAAGCAAGACAGTATTCTCAGTGTTAACATGTTCTACGTGTTCTGTAGAACACAGAAGAAGATCCACTCGTGAAGCAGCCGAGCATCAGTCAAGACAGTAAGCTCATGGTTCAGATGTGTTGTTGATCATGTCAAGTCCTTACTCCCTGATATTCCAGGTGAAGCACCAAAGCAGGATTCTCTGACCCTATCTGAAGGTACATAATGGAGTTGTTTAGGCATCTCATGTGTGCCACAACAGTGTATGTTGGGCATGTAAAAAGCATTGGCCTTTTGATGGAGCAATTCCGAGTCACGTGTTGTGCACAGCTAAACTAATATTGGCGAGCTTTTACCATCCTTGCCAAGTTCCCTTCCTATATATCACACTGACAGTATATACACTATGGCGGAAGGCAGGAGCAGCCATCACATTGCTCTAGCCGCCATTTACACATGAAATGGTGCCTTGATCCCAGAGAACACATTACATGACGTACTCTCTGCAAGCCAATAGAGACTGCCAGTCTTACAACAAGATGTCTCAGACTGACCAAACTGTCTGAATATATATAGGAGCATGAAAAGAAAATAAACAGGACAGCTGCTCTTGTCTAAATATACAGCCACAGTGTTATGTTTAAGATTGCAAGATTGCAGCTCCTTTTGTCTTACAGTTCCCCTGACGATGCTCCAGCTATCCCCAGCACCCGGAGATCAAGACTTTCTCTACCATCTCGGAGATAGGGAGGGTGTTTGCGACCTCTACGACCTCATTAGTGACCCCTCCTCCCACCACCCTACCACCACTGCCACTTGATAAATTTTCAAACTGCCCGTGTTGTACTCCAGTCATCACACTTTTATATACTCTACTTTTCCTACCGTTTCTCCCCTTTTCAGACAAATTCTTTTTTATCACAGTCACACAGCTTTCTACTTTTACTTTTCTACGAGTTTCTCGCTATAACAAAAATTCTGTTGTTTGTCACTACTGCTTTCGTTTTGCTCATTTTTTCCAAATTGCCTAAAAATATTTCTCCATTGCCGCCTAATTTGATTGTCCTACAGTAAAACAAACTGCATGATTTACAATAATGAGTGTAACAAGTATAATATAATATATTATAGATGCAAAAATCCAGCTATATAATTATGACACATGTGGTTGTAGTGTTTGATCACTCCAGGTTGTAGTGGATGCAGGCCTGTTTTGCTGCAGACTGCTCTGCCGTCTTCTTGTTGGCGTAGCCCTTGCCCTGGAAGTGCATGACCTCTCTGGTAATCTCGTCTCTCAGGGTGACCTCTGTAACAAAGCGCCCTCCGTTCCCCTGCGATGTGCTGTACTGAGGATTGCTGCGGCCTTGCTTTGCCAGAAATTCTTGCAGCATTCCCTTGTAGTTTATCGTTATGTCTACAAACACAATAAAATTGTTATAGCTACATGCAACCCACAAAAATTTCCTTATTACATCACAGACATGAGGATAAATGCATGGTTTTTCTTACTACTTACTCTCGGGCACAGCTGCAGTTCTTGCAGAGAATCGACTGGTGAGAGGGCTCCTGATGCTGGCTCCTCCCCCTACAAACGAGGCGGACGATGCAGAGGACGAGGATGAGGCAGAGGAGTAAGGATGGGGAGCACTGTCTCCATTGGTGGCAAATCTGCTCCCAAGTCCACCCATACTCCCGTTGGCTGCAGAGTAGGATCCATATCTGCTGCCCAAAGAAGCCCCTGCACCAGCATCTTCCCCTCCCTCCAAGGTCACCAGCCCAATATCAAGAGCTGCTCTCCCGGCTGCATCTTGCTCTGCCTTTTTCTTGGCCGGCATTGGCTTGGAGCGGTACTCGTTACCGTTTACGGTCAGGATGGTCACAAACCCGGTTGCGTCGTCAGGATACTCTGTAGCATACTCTGGCATCGAGAGATAGTGCTTCTGACAGTACTCTTGGACGATGGCCTTGTAGTTTCTCTCTGGGAGTTCCATGCTGCGTGCGGCTGGTGGTGACCTGGCAGAGTTTCTGGGCACACTTCTCTCAACATTCTCCTCCGTTCCTGTGTAAATACCAATGAGGCACCCATCCTAACACATGATAATCATACATGGAAGTAATATCATGTTGAGAATTTGGTATATACAAGGGTCGCAACAGAGGGTAAACTGTTTTGATGAGTATATAACTCCCTCCCAGCCAATGAGCCAACTCTCTACACAGTACCACATGTGAATTACTAAGGTGGGCACAGTTCCAAGATGCACCAAGACGTGGTGAATCAGAGGCTGCAGCTGTAAGGACATGCCAAATGGCCAGCGTTCCGATGGGAAAGCACTCTCAGCTAAGCCCGTGGGAATGGTAAACATTCCCTACATTAAGCTATGTCATAATATAAAAATTGTGTGTGGCAAGCCTATACAACTAACCGACTATAATCTTTATGACCAACCTACTTTGTTCAATGCATATAAATGCCCGTGCAAAATGAAACGCGTATAAAAGTAATTACGCCGCGTGGCGCGCATCTGCGGATTAAGTTTGTGAACCATGCAGAGCTCATCTTCCAGCAAAACCAATAGACAGTAGCTAATACTGTTTAGAGCATGTTGACGTATAGCTGTGCAGTTCCTCACCGTCCTCCCTGCCGCTGATGTTGAGCAGACTAAGTCCGACTTCAGCCAGCGCCACTAGGGATGCGTAGTCCTTGGCTTGCGTGAATGACTCCGAGTCGTTCGAGAGGTATTCCTCCTCACCGACCGTCACAGTAGCGGTGAACTTTCCGCGAGGCGACTCCTGTACGTCGTATTCTGGCGGAGGGAGACCTCCGGCATTGCAAAGCTGCTCCAGCTTCCGACTGTAGTCAGCCGCAGCCGACGCGCTCCCGCTAGCAGAGCGAGCCGCGAGGCCCGTCCGTCTCGCAGTGACGGAGTCTCGGACGGAGTCGTCCGGTAGCCCGCCGCCGTCGGCGCCGTATCCGTGTCCCGCGGAGGATCTCGAAACGGGAGTCCTGCCACTGCTGCTGCTCCTACTAAAGGTCGGCTCGGGGGCTAGCTTTAGATCAACGTAAGCAACTCGCGCGGCATCCTCCTCGGCGAGTTTCTTTGACGAGTGAATGGCCCTGGAACCGTAACTGGCGTCGCGGACGAGGACGGAACTGGCGTAGCCGCCAGAGCCCTCTGCACGCTCCGTAGAATAGACTGGAAGCTGCAGGTGATGTTCCTGGCAGTAAATCTGCAGAAGGTTCACGTAGTTGGCCATGCTGCGGCAGTTGGCTGCGCCGCTGGAACTGGCTCTTTTTGTTGCGAGGTTGCGCGCGTAGTAGTATTTACGTAGGTTTTAAAGCGCATGCGCATTAGACACGTATGACGTTATCCACTTTAGCACGTTGGCACTTTTCAGCAAACAACGCGCCAGTTTGTTTCAGCTATGGCTGCTCAGGCCGTGGAATACTTTATCCTTCTGACGGTGGCTGGGACACAGCCCGAAGAATACGAGGAGAACTTCATCGTCCTGTTCTCGTGGGCCGTCATCAGCAAGTCAAGGAACCAGGTGGGCACTATTTAGAACCTGGGGCGACACTTGAATCCGAGTGTATATACAAATCCCGTGTGTTGCTATAGTGGTGGTGGTGGTTGTAAGAATCACTCCTTTTGCTCTCCTCTTTTCTGTTGGTGTGCAGGTGTTGACCAAAGAGCAGCTGTACGTGCAGCCCAGTCAGAGTGTCAGTCCGTCCAGCCTGCCTGGAGGGATCAAGCCTGAGGCTGTCAGTAGCGCTGCCCCCTTGCCTGTCATTATCAAGCAGGTAAGTGGAATGAACCACACTCCTCTAATTATATAGGTGCAATGAGGGCTTTTAAAAGTCGATTTACTTAGTGTGTGGGCATTAGCCTGCAACAAAAACTTCTCTGATAGTGCACTTCCTAAAACGTGTGTTACAGTTTGTCTAATACCAACAGCAATATCGTTGTGGATCTATTATGCCCACTTTAGGCTAACGGCCAATTTAGCTTTGACAGATTGCTTGTCCTTATGCACATGTACATATGTAGGGCCCTCCATCCACATTGGTTGTTGGTGCTATAAACACGAGTGGACATTGTACAACATACACTATAAACATGAGTGTTGTCGTATGCAGTTCCATGCAGCAGTGTCCAAGTTGGGCCACTCGTTCATGCTCCTCTGCCCGAGCCCTCTTCCCCTGCGTCACTTCATACATCGCGAGGCTCAGGCCCACGGCATACAGCTCGAGAACTACTTCTACCAGTACGTCGACATCAACACCGAATTCTCCAGGGGCTTCCCCGATAATCAGCGCCCCAATACTCTCGAGGAAATGTGTGCATGTATCCCTCTCACCCAGTCTCTTGTTGTTACTCCAAGTATTTGAAGATTCCACTTTTAGAAGTTGCCTTAGCCCTCTGCCTCTCTTACTCCTAGTTGATTCCCTGTACCTCCTCTCATTACAGTAAAAGGTTCCCTCTGCCCCCCTGTCATTATACTGCTAATAGAAAATTCCCTCAGATTTACTTTCACTGTACTGCTTCTATTAGTCTCAAACCACAACTAAATTCCCTGGCCGCTCAGGGCCTTTCTATGTCTCGTACTCCGCCTCAGTATTATAGGAACCTTCTTTTATCTATGCATACATCATGGACTCTACTATTACTATGTCCAAGTAAAAGTATACTATAGCGAGAAACTTAAGAGAGTGAACTTTAGTGGAATTCTGCCGGGGGGCTTATAATATTATGAACAGTTATCTCCCATACTAATATGGTTTGTGTGGTGTGATAGAGAGACAGTTCCTTGACAGAGGGGCTAGTCCTCGGGATCGATGTTGCTCCCAGCAGTCCCAAACTGGGGCTGGCCGAGCTAAAGATGGTGGCCGACATCACCCAGAAACTCATCATGCAAGGTATGTATACTTCACCAGCTCTGGCAGTGGGAAAGTTTCAGAAGAGGGGGGCGGAGAAGGGAGGGTGCAAATGTGAAACTAAAAATTGAGTGGGAGCATCAAGGTTTGATTCACAAGCTCTAGCACCAGATTATAGTGGGAAAACTTTCAGGAGAGAGGAAAATGTGCAAAATTGAGTGTGTGTGTTTTTTCCATTGCCCTAACAAGGGTCCAAGTCCTCTGTGTCTCTGTCGATTGTACTGTCTGTGTTTGTTTCCAGGGCACACGTTTGGTAACCCTGATAGGATAAAGAAGGAGAACGACTCCAACGCACCTGCAGAGTGAGTGTCCAGCACCCAGTTGAGTGTCTGTTGGTTTGTAATACTCTAACCCTTGTGGTGTGTGCGCTTATAGTAGTAATGAGTACAGTATTTAGTGGGTGTTTATACCAGGCTGTTTATAAACTATAGTAACTACACACTCAAAGTACACATCAAATGACAATTAGTGGATTGAGCATGAAAACTCTATTTGTACAAACCGTTGTTTGGAGTTAGGGCCTTATCGTATCCCAGTCTCTCATTTTTTTACATTTTCATGCATCTTTGTTAGCGCATAAATATTGCTTCGCAAAGTGTCTACCGTGAGGGTAGGGTTGCATTGCCACCCACACTGGTATATAATATATATCCCTAAGTAGAGTATACAGCACCAGTCAGAAAAAACGCACCAAATTTATGAAGTGGCAGGCAAGGCAGCAGTGCACTTGGCTCAATATGTGTTCTTCGGCACAGAATCGATGCGCACAAACACTGCTGCCAGTCTGGATGAGAAAAAAATGAAGAATATAATATTAGGAAACTGCGGAATAAAGCGATGCGCACAAGATAGAAGTGCCCTTTGAGGAAAATGCAAAAAAAGCAATTGGACAGAAATGTAAAAACTTGCGTTACAATAAATAGACATTGCCAACCATGCATTTACTATTCTCTTTCATTCATCTTTTTCATCTGTTACGCTTTCATCTCTTCACCAAGTATGAAGAACACATTGCATATGATGTATCACACTCATTAACCTCTCATCGACGAAACCATACATTTTGCCATGCTACTAAACATTGTCTCCATAAATTTATTATAATTGTGTAAACTACGGAAAAAAGCGATGCGCACAAGATAAAAGTGCCCTCTGGGGAAGCAATTGGACAGAAACGTAAAAACAATAAATATACATTACATATGCATAGCCAGTGCAACTTGTAGTATCCAGTTGCTGCTCCATCTAAATGTATAATACGAGGAAAAACTTTACGCAAATGGTTGATATATTTATTGCATTTCTCTACACTAACAGTGT